GTAAGCAACAATTTATTTTCTTAGTAAAGTCGTTGTGTTCTGTGTTATATGTGAATCATTTCCCCTTGTACCTCTTAAGTAAAATAAAGTGTATGACCCTTTTCCACGTCTTCGGGCGGATAGGGCATATAAGGCTAGACCTATATTTTATAGACCAATCGGCACAAGATGGGTGATGTGGTGGTCAGCATCACACCGGCCGCCTATACTTCCCAGTACTGCACCCGGTACCCACTCATGCTGGGTCGACTTGGCAGCCAATGTCATTTTTGAAAAAAAAAAGCCGGCTCCTCCAAAGAGCGAACCCACGACCTTCTGATCCGCAGGCGAAAGCCTAGCCGTTCAGCATCAGCGACTCCCTCTTGTCCCTACTGCTTTTAGTTAATTTTTTTTTCTGGACAGCAGTTGGCTGGCGCATTTTCCTCATATTTTGATTCAATGTATATTGTTCAGTCGTCCAGCAATTTAGTTTTAATCATGGTGGGAGACAAACACTTAAGGATTATTATTAAATGTGGAAAGCTTTTTCATCATTTCCCAAAAAAACGTATATTGTGAACTGCGTATTCATAAACTGGCGGGTTTTCCTGAGTTGATAGACGCCTCATGCAGCAGTTCGTGAGCAACTGCCAAATGATCGTGACTGTTGCTTCAATGGGCGACACCCTTAATTCTTGTGGCTGACTGTTCATGTGTCCTCTTATATAATAATATTCCGTTTGTTTATTTTAAAAGTTCGCTGTTATTATTAATATTATTGATATTTTTATCATGCCATGCATCTATCAGTGGAACAACAGGTCTTAACACATCCATGCAACGTAGTTTGGTTAGTTTATACCTTTATTATTGTTTTTATTTTGCAGTTTCCCATTTCCTACAGGTTTTATCACAAATTTATCAATTATTTCCTACATGTTATAACACAGATTGATCACAGATTGGCCGGTATTGGCCACTTAAGGAAATGCCCGGTTGCCAAATGCCACTGAGAGCCACGCTGAAGAAATATACTGAACATAGAGCAAGGAGAAGACCGCGAAATGTTGAATTAAGAATCGACACCCAGCACTAAGGAAACCTTCCTAAGTGCTCAGTCCCTATCTTCAGCAGCAAGCGAAGAGTTCCAATTCCGATGGTACCAGTAACCGAATTATTGTATATCCGTCTTATTCTTCCCCTAAGTGTTGGGCGTCGGCCATGTCCCCTTACATCTCCTTCCCAACAACTTGCTGAGGTAAACGATGGAAAAGAAGAACAAGACTTTGCAGTAGGAAGCAGAGGCAAGGGGAGGGGGATGCTAACACGGTAGCCAAGACCATTTCAACTCTCCTTAGTGGTCTCCTAGGGCATGCACTATAGATTACTGTATTATTATAGAAAAAAAGTAAATGGTGATGCTGATGATGATGATGATGGCGATGATGATTATAATGATGGTGACGGTCCTGGTGGTGGTGAAGAAAACGAAGAAGCAGCAGGAGCAGCAGCAACAGAAGAAGAAGAAGAAGAAGAAGAAGAAGAAGAAGAAGAAGAAGAAGAAGAAGAAGAAGAAGAAGAAGAAGAGAAGAAGAAGAAGAAGAAGAAGAAGAAGAAGAAGAAGAAGAAGGAAGAAGAAGAAGAAGAAGAAGAAGAAGAAGAAGAAGAAGAAGAAGAAGAAGAAGAAGAAGAAGAAGAAGAAGAAGAAGAAGAAGAAGAAGAAGAAGAAGAAGAAGAAGAAGAAGAAGAAGAAGAAGAAGAAGAAGAAGAAGAAGAAGAAGAAGAAGAAGAAGAAGAAGAAGAAGAAGAAGAAGAAGAAGAAGAAGAAGAAGAAGAAGGAAAAGAAGAAGAAGAAGAAGAAGAAGAAGAAAAGGAGGAGAGGAAGAAGAGAAGGGTGAGTAAGAAGTTAAAGAAAGGGAAGAAGACAAATTAGAGAGCAGCAATAACAGTAATAATTGTATAAGTTGTTGAAGCAGATGACCCTGTTTTCACCACTGGCACATCGGACACATATAAAAGTAAAGGATCCTTTTCCAGGCCATCAAAGGCTCGTTATGCCGTAAAGACGGTTCTGAATCTAGTGGTAAGGTTAAAACAATATGCTTCAATTTAGATTTGATCTCTAGAGCTTCAGGTCGACTAGCAAGCTCTAGCCTGACTGACTGACTTTCTACCCCACCAGGACATCACACAAGCGATAAGCACCCGATGACACAAAGTGCCACCATGTGGATGAGGATCGCCGTTGAGAGGTCCCAGAAACCGCGTTCAGACAATTGACCACATTTATGACCTGCTTATATCGCAGCCCCTGGACAAAAGCCAGGGTGGGGCTTCGATTACCAAAAAATTTCGTCCTAAAAAGGACGAAACAGTATGCGTCTAGCCTGCGCTACTGCGGGTATTCTATGAGTTCACTGATCTGTTGCTACTCGGTGATTCAAGGCGTATGATCCGGAGGGTTCAGGCAGGTTCAGTGCGAAGACAATGGCTGGAATCATTACAGAAGTCCACTGTGCGTGGAGTCACCTTTATTTTTGTTCCAGGACACACAGGCGTCGATGGAAATGAAAGAGCTGACAGGTTGGCTGGATCCGCTATCACTACCGACGGCCAGCCTATGGATCATGCTGATATTATCAATGCCCTCAGAGAAATGGGAAGGATAGAGGTCTTTTGTGGCAGTGAATCCACATCACTCGCCAGAATGGCAGACTTGGGAATTAAGATCGGCATAGCAAAAAACGAGAGGCACACCAGACACGCCAGAAGACTTGTTAATCAACATAAAACTGGTACTATTAGCCATGGGACGTTAAGGTTCATACTGAGGGGAGGATCTGAGCACTTATGGACATGTCCGAAGTGCAATGATGATAACCCAACTAACTAACTAACTAACTAACTAACTAACTAACTAACTAACTAACTAACTAACTAACTAACTAGTTAACTAACTAACTAACTAACTAACTAACTAACTAACTAACTAACTAACTAACTAACTAACTGATCTGTTGCTGTAGGTTGTGCTGTGATTGGTAAATGACGTCATACATTATGGTTAAGTGTCAGACGTTGTGGTTTTGGGCGACGACAAAAGAAAGATGGCGCCATTACCGCAACTGTTTTCAAATTGATTTGTAAGTAAACGACTTATATTGACAGAAAAAGAATGAATTGATTCAGCCATTTAGTAAGAATGTAGCCAGACTACCGAACGGTTAGAACGCTGGGCTCTCAAGCGGAAGACCCAGGTTCTGTCTGCGGCAAAATAAAATCCTCACCTGCACATTCGTGGCGACAGCACTAGACATGCGGCCGTGAACCCTCAGGCTCAAAGAACATTCCTGTCCACACCGTACAAGTGGTATAAAAAAAGGCAGTAATTAGCAAGTTTTTGTGTGTGGGGAGGGGGCGTAGGAGGGGGGGGGGGCAGCCAGACCAAACTACACATGAGATTTTTTACAACAGAACGTCTGGGAGGAATTCGAGGGGAAGAAAGACCAAGAAATCTGTAAAAAAGATTAACAAATCCATCACTCAAGCCACCCGAGAAGTCCAAGACACACGGAAAACCAAAACACAGGGCTACCACCTGGTACAGTAGGACGACAACAGAAAAAGAAGGCAAAAATAACTAAATGTACGTAGCAAAACGGAAGCTGCCGCGGTGTAATGGCTAGACTGTCGAATGCGGTCGGAGGTTCATGTCCTGGCGGTAAAGGTTTAAAAAAAAATGATTTTAGTTCCCAGGTCGACCTAGCCTTGAATAGGTACCAGGTCGAGTTATGGTGAATAAAGGCGGCAGGCGTAATGCTGACCACTTCATCCATGAAGTGCCGATTGGTCTATGAAATATAGGTATAGACCTATATGCCCAATACGCCTGGAGGCCCTCTACTTTTTGCAATGCAAAACAATTTTTATCGTTGTGAATTTAAAAAACAATAAGACACAAATAAAGATTGGACATTTTTTTTTTTTTTTTTTGGCTCTTCTATTTCACGATATATAATCAGGGACAGATTACTGCAACATATAATAATGCACGAAACATTAATTCTTTCCACTGAAATGCACAAATGGATGGATCGATCTGTCTGTCTCCTCCTGGCTGTTACCAAAATGTTTGCCATACCATCCTGCAAAAAATTCAGTTGGGATTGTAGGCCAACAAGGTAGATATCAAATAGCCTGTTTAGTCTCAAAAGGAGTTATAATATGGGCACTCTTAATGGTTACACCGGCCAGGTGAAACATGCAGACCTATTTACGGTGTGAGGGAGACATGCATTCTCCTTATAAATTTTCTAAGGAAGATAGCCGTTCAGTCTCAAAAGGAGTTATAATATGGGCAGTCTTCGTGGTTACACCGTCCAGGTAAAACATGCAGACTTATAGACGGTGTGAGAGAGACGTGCATCCCCCTCATAAATTTTCTAGGGTGGAGAAATGGCTTAAGTATCCCAATCCTTGTTGAAGTACTTATTTATTATAAATAAAACCTTACGGTTGAAGGGGGTTTCTGGAATTTATACCTGGGGTATTCTCGTCCTTCTTTGGTTTCCGTACAGTAGCCAGATGACGGTCTGGCTGCACCTGTAGCACATGTAGACCCCTACCGGACGAACGCATGAAAGAACATCTGCGTCGGAGTTGATTGAAAGTACACGAGACAGAGGGTGGTGGATAGACATGACTACCAACGCCACACAGCATGAACTATGGAAGATCATCTGTGTCACAGTTGACTGAAAGTACACGAGACAGAGGGTGGTGGATAGACATGACTACCAACGCCACACAGCATGGACTATGGAAGATCATCTGCGTCAGAGTTGATTGAAAGTACACGAGACAGAGGGTGGTGGATAGACATGACTACCAACGCCACACGGCATGGACTATGGTAGATCATCTGTGTCACAGTTGACTGAAAGTACACGAGACAGAGGGTTGTGATAGACATGACTACCAACGCCACACAGCATGAACTATGGAAGATCATCTGTGTCAGA